GCGAACGAGGTACGACACAGAAAGATGAAGGAGTTCATGCGAGCAGCACTACTTGATGATGCTGTCATGTGGCCGTACTCAATCAATTGGGTGCAGATATAGATGAACGAATCCCCTGATCCAGTCACTAGTACAACACCCGCTCACTATTTCCGGGGCCGTTATAGTGAATTACAGATCTTCTTCAACAAGGAGTCTCAAGATGATCATGTGTTACCATGGTTAGAGAAGATGCGTCAGACCAGAGATGTGGCCTATCCTTGCTTAATGGAGATGAAAGACATCGCTCTCAAGAAGAGACAAAAGCGATGGAATGATATCAAGAAAATAGTCGAGTTTGAGGTAGGCGATATAGTCAACATTATGGCTCGCAACTCCGATACAACTGTGCTTACGGCTAAATGTATTGGACCATTTATGACCTCTGTGGCCGATAAGAAGAGCGGAACGTATGAAGTTAACAACGTTGACGGCTCTAGTGCCTTTAATATCGGGTCACAACGAATCCCTACGACAGAGATCATCCTTCGTCGCACACGTGAAGCTACTACACCTCTTATGTCTTACGGGTTTATGAAAATTCTAGGGAAGTACAAACATGAGGATATGACATATCGCCGATGGAGCACAGTATGATCTGTCACCGCCAGCATTCGATGATCCGGATGTACTAAAGGCTTTTAATAAGAAGTTTCACAAACGCTTACACAAAAATATGGCTGATGCAGAAACAATCTTACCATCAAATAAGCGACCCGAAGTGGTTAAGATCTACCCACAGACATCATACATTCCCAACTTTAAACAGCATGGAATGTACGTACCTCCAAAAGGCATTAAGAAACGTCCCATCCACTATCGGGGACCACAAGGGCCAAAGCCCAAACGTAATAGACTAACCGAGTAACTTAAAACGTCTAAGTATACTTTATCTAAGAGAATATAACATAAGCATTGAGGCCGTTATATGATCGAAACCCGTTTCTTTTCTTTTCGCTTGTACAGTTCATGTGAGCTTTTTGAGTCTATGCGCTAATACCGCGTATAAGCCAACATTGTAATTTTCAAGCTGAGGGGGGAATATGTAAAAATAGCGGGTTCCTAATAGTGGTTGCACAGTTAACGTATATAATAAACGTATAAGAGCATTAACGTTTATACTTATAATACTGGAATACGTTTAACGAATTGGACATGAACAAGAAGTGAGAAATTCAAGATTCTGAACATGTGACAGTACTCAGTAGAGTATGAGACTCTACTGTGGACAATTAGCTGGTTTTCCGAATATAGATTGGTTTTTCCACTGAAATTATTATTGTACATAATACAGGAACGACATCAATCTGACACCTGAAAATGTCACTTTGGGAATCTCTAATTAATGGGAGTACCATGAGAGAGGGACTCAGGCATGAAATGGTTGTTGGTACCGACCTATGACCAGGTAGAGAAAGGTATCTACCTCTCTATCCACATAGATCGGCTCACATTGTATCATTGGGATCAACTGTGGTAGCCATTTATCTGAGTGTCTTAGGGGACACCACAACGTGATGGTAGCATCTTGAATATGTACATAATTTAGCAACTGTGGTATTTGTGCAAAACTTCCAACTCTCTTAGTTCCGAATACCTTCGGTAGTATCTTTTGAAACTGACGGCAATATTTGCTTGCTTGCTTACCTTCGTCAGTTTTCATTGATATTAGTCGATTGTAATATTTAAAATCCCTAAACAAATCGTACCCAAACTTTCTTACCGCTGCATTCATCACATACCTCGGTGAGATGGTACCATCCGGTTTGGTCTTCATTACGTCCGGAAAGTACGTTCCATACGTATTTCGAAACACCCATACCCGGTTGGCCCGCTGACGGATGAACTCTCGTTGACCCTCTTTTGTATATCAATCTGAGTCTAATATGGATGGCTCAGATCAAAGTTCTGTTGCCAAGCCGGTCGGAGTGGTGTTATGGGTAAGCGCAGGAATTGTGAATCCAACCTGGTGTCTGAATCGTCGTCCTGATTGTGAAGCGTATGGTCCACATCATCGGGACCTATATCCACGAAACGCAGTTGTTCTTCCGTTACGTTGATTTGGAGTTGATCCAACAGTGTTTGTGCTATTGGCTCATCTTCCGAGTCATCCTCCCCTGATTAATCATGACTTTGATCCTTCGCTGCGGCTTGCCTTTTCTTCCGCTACTTAGTAGGTCTCAATTCATGTACCTTTGGTTGGTACTTCTTCAGGAAGGCTCTCATATCCCTTGCTATCATGTGATACGTAGAATATTTTAATTTCTTAAGTTGGACTTAAAGGTATTTTATTGGTTAGTTTGATTAGATAATTGTCTCGAGGCGTGAAATGTAAACTATGCGTTCAATGAAATGATATTTAGTCTTAGTAACTAAAGCATAAATAAATCTAGACCGAAGTCGTGAGTGATTAGAGCGAAGCATATAGACAACAGTCTCAGTCTAAATCCCCTAAACGTTTGCTCATTACCAAGGGCTGAAGCTAAACTTATTTAATATTTTGCATTTTAACGTATTAACATATTGTCTCATTAACGTAAACGTCTTGGTATCGTATAGTTAGCCTAGAGGAGACCGACTTTTACATCGAGCTCTTCGAAGCTTCTCAAAGATCAGTTGTCAGTTGTCTCACAATGCAATGTCTGCGTATCACTAAATTTCGTTCCACATAGCACCAGTAGTTGCTTCAACACCGATTACCCTTGATGATGCATCTAATGCCTTGCTTTCCTTTGCAAGTCTGCTGTCCAACAAATGGATTCTAAAAAGGTGCAAGTCAGCATTCCGAATAGTTGCACATAGTGTATGTATGATCTGTGCAAATTTGCGCTCATTGCTTGCTCATACGCATCAAACAGACTATTGAGGGGCTGTATGTACAAGGTGTTCAAGTTTCTTTGTTTTGGCTCTCTCGTCGGCTAAAGATGCACTATATTTTTGTTCTTATATGTAGCCTTGCATACGTAGAAGATGTCATGATATATCTCTAGTTTGGACAACTTGTACTCTAACAGACGATGGCGTCAGAAGCCATAGATTGGAGACTTTGGTCATGAATGCAGCCATCTTCTTGTCTGTGTGGTTGGATGGGGGTTTTTTTTCAACGAAATCATAAGTATATAGATGGAGGTACAACATCAATGTTAGTTGCTTTCTCTTCACGTCGATTTCGTCCGCGAGATTGCTGTCGTCCCTATTAGATTCTCTTGCATAGGCCTTGCCACTGTGACGTCGAGATGTTGGAATTCTTGGTCTTGGTCTCGATATAATGGCCGCAAAGACACAATAATCTTCAGAGAAGATGCTGGTGTGCAATATTTGCTGTTAAAACAACGGCTGCTAGCTGTACGTTTTTGTCGTCAATTTTGTCAGATGATGCCATCTCGTTCGCGATTCATCTTCCTGAATGGTTTTTGGAAGTTCACGTAAAAGAGTTGGTAGTTTTGGGTTGCGTGTGCTTCTTGAAAGCAAGTAAACACTCATTCATCGTCGTTCTCGTCGTCGAAAGTGCTACTAGGTATACTGTTTTTTCGTCGTTCTTGTCGGATGATGCGATCTCATCCGCGATTCATCTTCCTGAATGGGGTTTGGAGCTTCACATAGAAGATTTTGTAGTTTTGGTCATCTTCCTGAATGTTTCTGGGAGGCTCACGTAGACGAGTTGGTAGTTCGGATTGCGTGTGCTTCTTGAAAGCAAGGTAACACGCATTCATCGTCATCCTCGTCGTCGAAGATGCTGCTAGGTATACATTTTTGTCGTCGTTCTCGTCGGATGATGCCATCTCATTCGCGATTCATCTTCCTGAATGGTTTTTTGGAGGTTCACATAGAGGAGTTTGTAGTTTTGATTAGCGTGTACTTCTTGAAAACAAAAGAACATGTATTCATCATCTTCGTCGTCGTCGAAGATGTGCTAGTCTATTTCTTCATAAGATTCTATGTGTTGTTGGTCGCTTGTAGTTTCTTGCAGCGATGAAGGTTGGTCAGCGGTCATCATGGGTATCAGCTTGTTTCGTGAGTTCGCGTCACTTTTCACGCGATTTAATATAGGATATAATCATAGCCTTCTAAAAACAAACAGAGGGCTATGGTGTAATTTAAAAAATATATATATGAACACAATTTGGCAATTTCGTTCAGTTGCGTGCAGGGGCTCCAGAACCAAAACCGCCACAGTTTGTGATAAACTAATTTGATTGGTCACTGGAATATTGCCAGAATAAATATGATAAAAAACATAAATTGAGAAAGATGTTTCATATTAAATTGCCGAAAATAGATTTTATCAGGTTTGTGGTTCACGTTTGTATGCTCTGGGTCTGAGTATGAATTTAAAAAACATGCCAAAATATAGTGATTTCATTCGCTCTACATATTAGCTAAGGTTTGGACAAGAGTGACCTGAAAATGAAAATATAGGACTATAAATTAAAATTATAAAGTACCCTACTTGAGGGAGAGACCAAGTCACCACAGAGAAGATACTTCAGAGAGAGTGAGAGAGAGTGAGAGAGTACAGAACTGAGATTCTTGTTGAGACTGTGGTGTGGGAGAGGTGCCAGCCTATGAGACATGAGTGTCTCTCTCAACTCTCAAGTCTCAACTTCAGAATTTCTCAAATGTGAAGTCTTCAGATTCTTTCGAAGACCCCAGTTCCAAACTGCGGTCAAGGCATCATCGTGTGATTTGCGCGGGTTGACTGCAAATTGCAACTGATGAAAATTGGGTCAAAACTTTGTGGTTGACTTTGCAAGCGAATTGCAAGTTTGCAACTGATGATTATAAATGCATGCGTACGTCGTATGCATATGTGTATATGCACTAACGGATAAATCCTTCTCCCTAGCCAGCTGCTTGCTAGTAGTTACATCTTACGCATGATATTGTAGGGCAATATTATATATTGAGCAGGGGTTATATACATATCTTCCGACTCAATTGAGAAGCATATGCACCGTAGTTACCGTTGTGACGTGCACCGTAGCGGCCGGCATACAGCACTGTAAGGAGTAATTGCGTATGTATATAGAAACAACTCACTCAGGACGCTTTGCGAATTCTTACAGGGAATTGAAGTATATAAGTATATGCGCAAACCGTCTTTCTAACTTTAATGGGGCTTTATTTTCACTCGGGTTCGACCTGATAGCCAAAGAATTCCATACACACCTAACACATTCACTCAGCTCATTCGATTGGGGTGAACGTTCGACAATATGGCGATGCCCGAAAAAGCACCGCGCGACTATAACAGTGTGAACGGGCTACTCAACTCGATGACTAAAACCGAGTTAACTATCATACTAGACTTTTTACGAGAACGCAAATCAGGGAACAAACCACTGTTGGTAGACCGTATAAAGCAATGGCTACACAATGAGAAGTGTACTAGCGGGGAAAACGGAGAGAACTGGATTAGGGTCACCGAGTTGATGTACAACACGCTTGCGCCGCGGAGGGGGAAGGCGCAGGTACCACTGACGTATAATGATGGAGCTAGTAGTATAAGTAGACGTTCCACCAGCGCTGGGCCGCAGAGACAGTCACACTCACACAACGCCGCGATCAGGGCAACCTTACCATATGGTAGACCTGGCAGTATAGGTTACAACACGTATGGTAATAACAATATCCAGCCTCCACATACATACCCGAATAATCCACAGGCAAATTCGCATTCACAGTTAAATCCACAACTATACCCCGCCAGTGGGGCGACCACAGGCACTACAGCGTCACAGGGGTTACAAACCAAGTTCACCGTAAACCCATTCTTCAGACCTCTGAGAGAACTTTGTCCACCGACCAGGCTGAGTGGTTCTGGGAGCAGTGCGAATATCACACTGATGTTCAGGTTAAGCAGCGTAGAAAGAGCCTCCTTTATGGAGCTGGACTATAGGGTTATTATTAGATCTTGTACGGAACAGGCGCCGCCCGGGGTCGGCAGCGGTGAGCCGAGAAAGGTATGTTTTACTTTGTTATATGGACTAGTATGTTTTACTTTGTTATATGGACTATACTAGGGCTACTTCGATGCCGATGTTGCTCGTATTTTTGTAATAGCGGGATGCTATGTAGGCTTGTGCTTGGTGGGGAAAAGTAAATGGGCTCTGTACGTGTATGTGTATGGTTGACGAAAAGTTCTTGGTTACATATCGAAGCATCCGAGATACATTTTTTATGCCACAACTTCATGTCGAAAAGGAGCTTACACGTCGTATTTATCTGCTCTGGATCTATAGTGATATAGTTTTTATAATGCAACAATTAAACAGGTGAGTACCTGCGAGAAAATTGAAGCTCAGACTTTTTCAAATAGCAGGCTAGAAGAAATGCTTTTTATGTGCTCATACATATTCATATATAAAATCCCGTATATCAAATACATTATATTTACACACGTATGCACACGCACACACGTACACACACGGACACACGTATACGCACACCGACACACATATACACATACGAATATATATAAATATATACATACATA